CTGTGTATCCTTGGAGATTAAATTATTTAAAGACATCCAAGCCCCAAATAGTAATTACCTATTTTAGTCGGTTGATATATATATAGGTGTTCCTACCTTTTTAGCTTTTCTTTTTGTGTTAACTATACTCCCAAGTGAATTCTTTTTTCTTCAACCACACCAATTCTTTGGCTTCTGTTTCATTTTCCTATCTACGTTAAGGAAAGAAATTTCCTTGTTATCAACTAAGAACCAAAATACATCCGTATATATCCATCCATCCACCCTTAGTTTACTTGGCAAATTCCCCTTAAAATGGGGGCTTGTTAAAAATGGCGGTGGCTTGGGGAGCAGTGTAGCAGTGCCTTGCACTTCGTAACCATTTGGTAGGTGTTAGTCATGACTATTTCTACATCTTACGCATTGGTTGGGTGTGCGCGCTCTAGGTTAATGTCCCTGTTGCATCATATGTGAGACCATAGACAAGTTATTTAACCTTTTTGTGCCTGTTCTTTCCTCCTTAAAAATACCTTCCCTTCGTAAAATAGAGTATTTTAGACAGTGCTTAGCCATGTTAAGTGCTCAAATTACCACCTTCAGATATTTTTAGACCCAGTAATCTGGAGAATTCAGTGAGCAGCAGATTAGTTCCGCCTGCCAATTCTTTCAGCTGAGGCTCCAGTCGAGGGAGAACTCTTCCCACAGTGAACACTGTAGCTGGGCTCCAGTGCATGGGTGCTGTTGAGGTGGAAGATGGGGGTCCCCCACTTCAGGATCTTCCAGAGAATCCTCTGGACTGGGACACATTCCTCTCTGCTGGTGGCTAGAGATCACTGGGTTAGCCCTCAACCCAGATCTTCCACACACTCTTCCCACAGCCTTTGTCCCACTCGGCCTTATGGTAGTTTCATGGGTGCAGCGCTTGCTCTGTCTTATCGTTTCCTGTTACCAGCACCTTGCGTGGTGCCCCGCACTGCGAGCAGAGCTGGGGCACAATCAACACTGCATAAGGAAATCTTGAAAACGGGGCTCATTGCTGGACATAGACACATCTCATTCTGAACTCCTAAAAACTGGGGTCTTGTAGCATAGGTTTAAAAACATTTGTTTTTAGACCCATTTTAAAAAAACTGATTTTAGAGGGTGAGGGAGAGGGATAGAGAAACTAGAAACAGCAGTGATTGCTGCCTCCTGCACGCCCCCTACTGGGGATGGAGCTGGTAACCCAGGCATGTGCCCTGACCAGGAATTGAACCTGTGACCTCTTGGTTCATGGGTGGATACTCAACCACTGAGTCACACCAACTGGGCTGTTTCTGGACCCATTCTATCATTAGCAAATCTGAAGTTGTGAGGATGACCAAAGCTAAGGATTAACTACTTTTATCTTTTTCTTGGTTACTAGAGTCATCCCTAAATCATGCTACCTCTAGTTCTGAAACTGATGTAGTCTCAGAGGTTGTGGTAGAGCAATTCTTAAATCTCTTGGGGGGCTTTTTCTTCCAAGGATCAGATGAATTACTTTAACTCAGAAAGCTCACAAACATGGCCATATTTTTGTACAATTTGGGGAGGAGGCTCTCATCTTTTGCTACCCCCAGCTGGAATGAAAGATGCACTCCAGCTTAACTGAGTCAGGTGTGGTGTCTGACAGCTTCCTCCATGTGCTGCTGCCCCAGAAATTGATGTTAGATTTTTCTCATAATATGAAACCCCTGCTTTGGTTCCTAGGAGCTTCTGAGATAAGCTCTGCAACCAGCATTCAGCAACAGCTGTCAGCAGGGCCAGGCAGGTGCAGTGATGGGGGTGGGGAGGAATATTTAAACATTTCTGTGGTGGGACTGTGTAGAGATAAGAAATGGATCTTTAAATTTGCAATTGTTGATTCACAGATGACAAAGAAAATTAAAAAACTGGAAAAAGAAACAATAACGTGGCGTACCAAATGGGAAAACAATAACAAAGCACTTCTGCAGATGGCTGAAGAGGTGAGGTGGTTTCCTGTGACTAAGGTGTGCTCTTAGTCATGGGGACTCAAGGCTCAGGTACCCAGCAGGGCAGGGGGCGTGTGTGGTAACAGTAGTGCTATCTGTGGTTGAGGACTCTGGCCAGAGCCAGGGGTGGGGGGTTCTGAGTGGAGCCTGTGCCAGCTTTCCTGGCAGTAAGCTCAGCTGGAAGTGTAGGGGCCACATGAGGCATCGAGTTCCCTAGCCCCGGTGGGTTAGCCCAGGCGTGTTGGCGATGGCTGTAAAGCACCGCGGTTTTGCTTTTGTCTAGAGGAGGGTTTCTCAAACTTGAGCTTGCATCAAACTCCAGCTTGTTTACGACAGACCTGGACGGCTAGGCTCACAGAGTTTGATTCACTCGGTCCAGGTCGGGTCAGATAATTGGCCTTTCTTGAGGGCCCCCACCTTGAGCAGCATTGGACAGCTTTCCCAGTGAGAGCACAGATGAACGACTCAGGCGCCCTTTCTTTCTGTTTTAACTTAGTCTTTTAAAAAAGGCAGTTTTCTAAAGCTGAAATATATTGTGTACAACACTTGATTTCACACCTTCTATCTTCTCACCTGAAAATTGGTAGAAATCTATGCAAAAATGAGTCCTTTTCTATTTTTAATCAGCCCCTTAATTTTCATCTACTAGTCTCTGTGATGAGTATCTTGAATTTCCTTAATATTTCATCAATACAATAAAAGTGGATTTGGTTGTTTTTAAGAAACATGACAAAGGGAATTTAGTTTTGTCACCCTAGAACAATACTGTTACAAATATCGTGGTATTTGTAGATGTCTACAGTGAAGCTAGCTAGAATGTTAGATGTTTTGAACATATTCACAAGGTGATTAAACTAGTTTCCAATGTGACTGCTGACCTAATTCTTTGGTATCCAGTAACCCAGTTCATCTTCAGTGAGGTTATGTACATCTTTTTTTCCCTACAGAAAACCGTCCGTGATAAAGAGTACAAGGCCTTTCAAGTGAAACTGGACCGGCTAGAGAAGCTGTGCAGGGCTCTTCAGACGGAGCGGAACGAGCTTAACCAGAAGGTGGAAGTCCTGAAGGAGCAGGTCTCGGGGAAGGCGGCAGGGGCAAATCTAGCACCGCGTGTGACCCAGTCCTGCGCAGCCCTGGCTTCTCCTAAGGAGCTGAACACTGCCTGGAACAGCGGCACTGGAGTCCCCACAGTGGCAGTTCCCAAGGCAGCCAAGGAGAAGCCGGCTGCACACAAGGCTGTGTCCCTAGGCACCGGGCCAACCATCGAGTCAGTGGACTGAGATGAAGTATGATCACTGTATTGAGAGCTCTATTTTGTGTATAACTTTCTCTGTTAGTAGTAACTATTGGTTTTGTGGTGAAATTTTTCTTACTTTTTCTACCATATCTGTATTTTCTTAGAACTACTGGACTTAGGTGGTACAGGAGGCTGCTTAGCAGTTTTGAATAGTTTTCCTCAGCTGTGTGGCACATCTGCCTCGTTTCCCTTAATTGGCATGCATGTGGTCATTGCCTTGTCCCTTCTTCCCTGCTCCTTGCACAGAATCATCCTAATTAAAATTTCACCCAAGACAGGGCCGACCATTCATGACAAGGGAACTTTGTTCTGATAATGGTTCCTTGATGTGAAAACAATATTCATTTAAACGTCCTGATCTCCCATCAATATTAATAAAAAAACCACACACATCAAGATGATTAGTTTTGTCTAATAACCCATTTAAATGCCAAGTGAAAAAACCCTCTAGGGTTGGGACAGAAACAAGCTTACCATATTTAATTCAAAATAGTGTTTTGATAATATATCACTTGACAAATTGAGATGGTTGTAAGGCTTCAAATTCCTTAAAGTTTTGGCAGAATATGTACATAAAGGTATCATGTAAACAAACTAGTATATACAGGCAAATAATTGGACAAACAGGCTTAATGTTTATGTAACTAACAACCGTCATACTGCTTTGGTTTCAGGTTAGTTAGAACCAGTGGTGAATTTGGACCACCCAGATGCTTATTATGGGGTAGGTGGTTTGTTTTCCTTTTGGGATTTGGGTACACATCCTCTACTTCGCACAGAAAGCAGTCACTGGTAGCCCTTTACAACAGTGAGGGTAAATTAATGTGTAGCTCTCACCAGGCAGAAGTCCCTCCACTACCTTCTGGCTACTTGAAATTGACGTTCAACTTTTACAACAGTCCTATCGCAAAGTTCTCCATTCCAACCGAAACGGATTCTATTTCCAAAACAGACTGAAATCAACATTTTTAACTTTGGGAAAACTTAGCATAGTTTAGTAGTCAGAATGTACTACACCTTTCTCACCCTTATGTTGTTTTTTTTCTTTTTAAGGAAAAAAAAAATCAGTATTATCAATGTCTCTACACTTGGAATGGGGTACTTTTGAAATTAAGCACATCACCTTTCGATTAATTTTCCTTTGTTCTTTACAGCTAAGTTATGCAAATGATTACTCAGGCTGCAGTGATGGAAATTTTGATTTTTATCCCTAGTATAATTTGCATTGAAATACTTTATGAGATAAAAAGGCTCCATTAGAACTGATGTTAAAGCACATTCCACTGAGCAAAACTATCAAACTGACACTTGTTAAAATTTGCTTACTGGACTGAATAAAGTGTTGTCCAGTTAAGAGTTTTCTCTTTGTTAACATTTATAAAATCCTGCCACATTGATGGTCTAAAATGGGTTGAAAGAATTGAAAATTGTCCAGTAGATACGATAGGAAACAGCACCTGGAGTGGAGGATTATATCTAAGCTTCCACCATCGGTCATATTAATCAAGGGGCCAGATGGTGGAGGAAAAGAAATCCACAAAGTAGGTTATCTAATCACTCTGTCAGAATGAGCTGGAAGCAGAAACAAACATACCCTCCTCCCTCCAACAGCCTCTTATAAATACCCCCCACCCCTCGCTTCTAAATGAAATATTGGACTCATTTCCCAGAGAGGAAATGAATGTATATCAGAAATATCTACTTTAAAATTAGTACTAATGATCACATTTCACCAAGAATTCTGCTGGATGTACAGCTCTTAACATTTTAAGCCATTTATGTAGCCCACCACGTCTTATTGTGGTGCTTGTCTGTGTGGAAGATTGTAAATCTTTGGACCTGTTGCCTATTTTCAAGGGCTTTATAAAGCAATGTGATTAACAGTACTTGGCCTGCTGCTTTTGGCTTACTATGTATTTTTAGCTAGATGCTACCATGGTGTTTAAAGGATATGGATTCTGTCTTGGATGCGCTTGGTGTCCTTTCAGAATCTGTCCTCCCATTATCCTGTGAATAAAAACAAATGGGACCCTGAGGAGGACACCCTCCTAAAGCAATCACCTCACCAGCCCAGTGTTGTGGCTTTGTAGCACGCTGTTGTACCTAACATATTCTAGAACACTGTACTGCTACTAGGCTGGCCCAGAAAGGGTTTCAATGTCGACTTCACTTTAATCGCATTTGTTGCACCACCATGGAATCTTGATGTGTATTATTTATAGTGGCAGTAGAGAAAATGGACCATTTCATCCTGACTTGTAGGAGCACATTTCTTGGTCTTGAGACCAGTATTTTTAGTTATGTATGCAACTGCCTTTATTACACCTGGTCATCACAATTCAATTCTCAGGTGTTGCAGAAAAATCTACCTCTTTCAGACTGTAGATGGAAATAACTGTGAAAAAATGATGCAGATATCTTCTAGTTTGTGCTAAACACACTGCTTTATTTTTACAGCCCACATCTTTCATGAGGATACGAATTGTTAAGAGGCAGTCTTGATTTCCTTTTCAAAGACATTTTGTAGAGATTTTTCACTAATGTGAATCTGATTTTATCTACTCGATTCTGTATAGATTAAGTAAATATGTATGATAAATTTAACACCTTCTGTGTATTCTTTTGTTACCCACATGGCCTTAATTATATAACACTGAAGTCCAAAGACAGTTGTAGGTAGTTGGTTTCTTGGACTTTTTTAAAAAGTATTTTAATTACTGTACAATTTAAGCAATAAGGGATGGGGCACTGTTCACCCTCTGGGTGGCAGAAGACTCATTTTATGTAGCCATACCACTTAGTATGTTTTTAGTCTTGGCTACTCTTAGCACATTCCAGGGGGTACCTATTTGAGTAACAGGAAAATAGTTATGTATGCTTTACACACAGAGAAGCATGAGGAGCAAAAAGTAACATACCAGATTTTCTCTAAGTCAGGTGTACAGGCATAGTGGGCCATACAAGGTTTTTGTTACATTTTTTTGTTTCTGTCTAAACATTTACTTTTCTTTCCCCCTCCTCCAATATATTTTTATTGATTTCAGAGAGAGGAAAGAGGGAGAGAGAGAGAGAAACATCAATGATGAGAGTCATTGATCAGCTGCCTCCTGCACACCCCCGACCGGGCATGGAGCCCGCAACCCAGGCATGTGCCCTGACTAGGAATCAAATCCTGATCACCTGGATCCTAGGTTGACGCTCAACCGCTGAGCCACGCCCGGCTGGGCTCTGTCTAAACATTTAAAAAAGAAATGTGAAAACCATTCCTAGCTGGCAGGCTTTACAACATAGGTTGAAGGGCCAACTTGCAACCTGGTTTTGCCCCCTCTTTGGGTCCCTATCATGTGAGCAAACAAGCTTTCATTCTCTTGAGGGGAAAATCTAGTGTTTCTTTAAAACTGTCTAAAGGTGTGTTGTTTTTTTTGGCCAGGCAAAACTGTCTGAAGTTAAGGCACAAATAGGATGTGGGTCAAAGGTAGTTCTAGGTTTATAAATCTACCAACCACAAAATTGACACCTAACTTCTCCCACCTTTGGATTTAGGATACTGTCCTGTACCATAGGAAGAAAATCGGTAAAGGTTCAATGTGGGCACCTAACGGCTTCCTCACAAGAAAGGGACGCACACACACATGCACTTCTTCTCAATAAAGGGACAGACACACATCCCTACCCAGGTTCTAAAAGAATAAAACAAGTTTTATTTTAAAACTTTATTTTCTGCAAAGCAAATCAACAAGTGTTGGGAGGGGAGTGGAAAGTGTAAAAGTTATTCTTGCATATTCAGAACAGCAAGCACTTAGTTTGAGAAAACAAAACTTAAAATATTTGAATCAAAGGCAGTACCCTGCTACTTGTATTTTAAAACTGTCATGTTCTTTCTCAGCAACATTTCTTTCTTCCCTAAAAGCTACGATATGATACAGAACGCAATAGCTCACTTGAAAGTGCTAGAATCAGAAGGTAAAGAATGCCATATGCCATCCCACTTAACATTTCCTACTATACAATGCTTTTTTTGGCGCTTGATAAACCAAGCATTCATGTTAGCATTACATTCAACAGAAACATTTCTCATACTTTGGGTTTAAGATCCTTGCCCCTCCAGTTCCGAGGTTGTGACATCTGACTCTTCATCATTGTAAATATTTTCAGCCTGGAGATAACAACCAAATAAATTCATAGGTATAACTCCCCATGGTTTTTATAAGACTATCTAAAAATAGCATTTAATAATTCCATCCAGATTTTTGGATCCACAGGGCAATGTGTTTCAGTGTTGGAAGTGGACACATTTTTAGAGTACTTCAGTAGTTTTGTTTCCCCCCCAAACACTCTAATCAATGTGATGAGGAAAGGCAGGCCAGTGTAAATTCCACATATATCCCTAGCTGCCTATGCACTATTTATTTCAGTTCCTGTTCATAAAGGTGTTTCCCCAAAGCATTTCAAGCATCATTTAGAGGGAGCAATAGCCCTGAGATTTATGAGGGTTGGTTAACACCTCAATGCCTAAGAGATGTCAGTTGTGTACTCAGTGCTAATCTTCAGAGAGCTGAGTATCATGTGGACACTTTCCTCCTGTATCCTCCATGTCTATGACAACAGACACTGGACATAGAGCAGTGACACCAAGAACCCAGTTGAAGAAGAGTAATCATGAAAATCAGAGCACATGCTGTGTCTACATCTATGTTTACACAGATATGTATAGAGATTTCTCCCGACTTGACAGGTACATACTAAACTAAGGATTGTTGTTAAAATGGAAAAATGTTTTTTAAAATTATTCCCTTTCTATAAATATTTTGTACAATACACATCTAGACTTTTGAAATATTTCCATTACATTATATCATTAGTTAACCTCTCCTTTACAAGATAAGTCATTTAAGAAAAAAAAATATTTTAGCTCACCATTTGCCATATCTGCATGATGTTATCCTCAGACACTGAGCAAATGACCCATGGCTCATTGGGGTTCCAGCTAAAGTCTGATATCTTGGCGGTGTGTCCTCCATGAATAAACTGTTAATAGGAACAAAAAAAGCCTTGGTTTCATCTCTTAGGTTGTTAGTTTTTAGAGCAACAGTCTTACAACGGCAGGGCTGGGTGTCGCTGTCCTGCTGTTTGGAGGGAGGGCAGTATAGGCTTAATACACCACCACGTAAACCTTAAACTTCAAGGGGTCACCAAGATCCCAAGATGATTCGATTAGGAATGGGAGGGAGACAGGCACTGCTGGCATCAACAAGATTAAGGGAGTTTAGCTTCTGGGCAGGGAACTTAAAAATCCAGTCATTAAAATTTTCCCACAGTTAGAAAGTGTTAAGTGTTGCTAACTAAACACCTGCTCTCTCCAACCCCCAAAAGCCCTCAGAAATACTACAATTGAAATCAGTGAGGAGTTATTATACACTATTTTCCAGAAGCTCAAATTATTTTTAATGAAACACTGGCCAAAACCTACTGGGCTCTGTTTCCTTTTTTTTTAATATAGCTTTATTGATTTCAGAGAGAGGAAAGGAGAGGGATAGAAGTATCAATGATGAGAGTGTCATTGATTGGCTGCCTCCTGCATGCTGACTGGGGATCGAGCCCGCAACCCGGGCACGTGCCCTGACTGGGAATCGAACCCCGATCGCCTGGATCCTAGGTTGACGCTCAACCGCTGAGCCATGCCTGGCCGGGCTGTTTCCTATTTTCAATAAATGCCAAACCCCAACCACAACCACCTCCAAGACCTCTAACTGGACATCATCAAGAGCTAGAATTTGAAGTTTTGACTCATTTTCCATATACACAGGATCAATGACAGAATCCAATCTGTATGTGACATTTCATCTTGCATAAGAAAGCCAACATATACCAGGAGTTCAGGAGGCCCATCTTCGGCATCTTCTGCTGATTGTTCTTCTCCAATTTTGCTATTAAGAAAGAGCATAATGCTTTTGTTATTGAAATTCTTGAAGTGTGAATGTTGCAAAACCAATGGCAGCCCAGAAAGCGCATCTTAAAACACACACTTAGTGGAAAAACATCTCTAAGCTGCTATGAATTAGAGTTTTAATATTATTTGATGGAAAGGTGGGGGGGGGTTACTTTCTGGAAATGGGTAAGAGCTATTCATAATTGAAACTGCAGAATAGAAACTGTTAATATTAAAATTCATTTAATATTTTCATTGTGATGTTTACTGCATTGGAATTAAAAGGTGAAAAGTGTGTAAGTACTGAAGCCAGGCCCCCATACTTCTCTCTCAAAGCCTTTTTCATTCCAGGAGTGAGAAATAGTAACACATCAGAACCACAGACCTGAAGATATGACTACAAAGCAACTTTATGGATCGTATAGGCCAAGGAAATGTTAAAATTTTTTTTCTTAAAAACTTCACTTTGTAGAATCTACCACCAGTATTGGTGAACTCATTCTTAAGTGACATAACACTTATCAGCCTATCTGATATCTAGCCCAAAGGTGGATTTTGCTAGTAATAAATGCTGGAAAAAAACAGCCAAAACATACAACCTTCTAAGTGATATTTTTTCCTTCCCATAAAACCAATCAATCAAATAAACCAAAAATGGGAGACTGCTAGACAATTATGTTTCTACTCCCTGTCAGAAATATAATTGCTAACACTGACCATTTTAATTTGTAATTTTACCTAATATAATTTTAATAGTAAGCAAGTCATAAATGAATTTTAAGAAGAAATTATACAATGTGTGCAAATTTATTCTTGGCACCTTTAGGGATAATCCAGTTGCCAGGGCATCAGACTTCCAAACCTTGCTGTACCACCTCATACAACCACTATATATTTTTGTTTTAGGTTTCTAATTTTACTACTAAAATTGTTTTCAAACATACTCAACTGCTTTAAAGGTCCTCTACATTTTAAAGCATCTATCATGTCCAGAGTTTGTTCCATAAGAACACGGAACATTAGATGTTTAAAAGTTTTACCAGCATTTTATTCTGCACTGTCTGTTCCATACGCTGAATGATGGGTCTACTGTCTGTAATTAAGGCAGTGTTGGTTTTAATACTAAAAACTCAGTCTACTTCAATACAACACATTTACTACAGGCAGGAATAAAGTTATTCTTTGGTAATTGAATGGCCACTCTGAAGTCAAGAACTTTAAGAACTGGAAGAAACTATACAATGAGCCCTCAGAAGAACACAAACTCTCCAAAAGCATGGGTTGTGCTTATCCCATTCCCAAGTATATCCCCAGCAGTTAACCTACTGCAGGAACTTATCTGCCTACTGAATTGATGAAAGCACGGAAGAGCAAATGGTAGAAAATCTGAGAAAGACTAGTCCCGCAGGTATATGTGAGATTCCATGAGACATGAACAGCTAACATCTTTACCGCTTTCTACAGCAATAGTATTTTCAATACAATCATTTGGATGTTAAAACACAAAGGCACCCCTCCCCCAACTTCAATTTTGAATATCAACAGAAAAATAAGACATGGCATAAACTTGTTTTACAGCTCATTTGCTGATTTACTTCTGTTTTATGGAACAAAGATTCTTCAGGAAGGCACTTAAAAAGTCGCTTTAACATTAGACTTATTAAACGGGGGTTAG